CTTATTATTGAATATTATTACTGTTTGTTATCATTACTATTAGTCCAACATACAGCATTTTCAAATAAAAAAATAATGATGTTTAAGATAATTATTACAAAAAAAAATTATTTTAAAAAGTTTTAACACCCTGTAACTCTGAAACTATGCATTTCCATACCCATGTTTATAATAACTTTTTTCATATTTTTTGATGAGGAATCAAAAAGTACTTTTTAAAACTTTTGCAAATTAATGATATTATTTTTTTATAAGGCTTCTATTAGACTTGAATCAAATGCAAAGCGAAATGGACAAAATATGAAGAGACAACTTTTAATCGGCATTAAACGGCTTACACTATTGCGCTAACAAGAGAAAAAAAGGCAGTGGCGTACATGCTTTTTTTAAAAAAATATTCCAAAGAAAACTCATATGCACGTCCCTGGTGAATATGTTGAAGCAGAATCGGACCTATGTTGATATGAAAATAAATCTTATTTTTATGTGAGGAAAGATGGCACATGTTTTTTGAAACCTGTATATACAGGGTGTCCCAGAAATAAGTGCAAGTATTTTAACTGGTAGCATAATTCGACTCCAGGAACACGCCTATGAGGTTTTTCCGCGAGTTTTTTTTTTTTTGAAAATTCGAAATTTTTTGAAAAATTTTTTGGATTTTTTTTAGTGTTTAATTAAAAAACATAATTTCTTCATAATATGACAACATAGGTATTAGATTAAATTTACAAGAAAAAAAATCCAGAAAAGATCCAGCTCAAAATTTTAGCAAAAAATCATGTTTTTTCGAAATCTTCAAAGTAAAATAAATCCGTTATTTTGGACTTATTTGAAAAACGAAAAAGAGAAAATATGTTTCTTTTATCGAGATTTACCACACCATAAAATACTTCCACTTATTTCTGGGACACCCTGTATATTCGAAAAAATCGAAAACGAAAACTTATTTTTCCAGCAAGACAAAGCACCGCCTCAGAATGCTGAAGTTATCAGAAAATTTTTGCAGCCAATTTCGAGAATAATTGAATAACTAACCAAAATCCCAGGCGTTGGACATCGAGGCCGGCGCGGCGGACTTAGTTCCTATGGATTTTTATTTTTGCGGAAGAATAAAGATTCTTGTTTTTAAATTGCCCATATATAATCTAGGCAAGAATTAGAACTACTTATGCGAGGGTATCTTTCATCCCCACTGAGTTAATTAATTCCGCGAGAAATGTTCAAAAACGGCCCCGTCCATCCATAACAGAAGACGGTCGACATATCGAACAACCAAAATCTCAAGTCTTGGTTTGATATTAATTTTTATTGTTATTAGATATAGTTTAAATGTGTTGATGTTGTTAAATGTAATTTAAATTGCTATAAAATTCTGCATCTCTCATTGCAAATATTATTCCGCCGTTCAAAGCCGACTTATTCAAAGTGGGCGAATTTTTACAAACTGTGTATCTGGAGAGAAGAGGAAACGAGCAAAATATCAAGCTAATTTTAAATTATTTTCAATGAATTAAAAATATACAGGGCGTCCCATATAAAAAATCAAATTTTCTATTTATAATTCCTAAATTGTTAATTTAAAAAAATATATTCTTAAACTATTAAATTCTATATAAAAATGTGCTTTGGAAATGTTTTCATAAAAATACAAAATTTTCTATAGCAAAAAGGTTACGGTGATTTGTTAAAAATGCACTTTTTTGAAAACATCCCGTAACTCCGAAACGGTAACACATATCTATGTGCGGTTTCATGTTTTTGATAAAAATTAAGCTCCAGACACCGATGTTAGTTTTCGTCTATCTCCTACAGAAAAAGGTGTTTCCCTTTAATAGCGTCCAATTTGGCCCACCCTGTATATGTGTTGATAAATAGTATATGTCAAGGGTCGACAAAGGCCCGGAACTTAAGATACCGCTGAGTCGGCAGTCGTTGGCAGTCGTTGGCAGTCGTTGGCAGTCGCTGGCAGTCGCTGGCAGTCACTGGCAGTCGCTGGCAGTCACTGGCAGTCGCTGGCAGTCGTCGGCAGTCACTGGCAGTCGCTGGCAGTCGTCGGAAGTCACTGGCAGTCGTCGGCAGTCACTGGCAGTCTTGTATAAAATGACATTTTGGCAATACGTGTACATTTTTTACCCTAGTGAGACACCCCTCGCGCAACCCATAACATTTGCAAAAAAATAAACCCAAACAACGTTCTTTAGGCAACTTGAAATTTGTTTATTCTTCAATTTTAGCATCTATTTAACCTAGAAATAAGTATGCCAGACTTTTTTTTTCGGGTTTAAAGTGTAATCCGACCATTCCAAATATGTTTAATTATTATACCTGGAAAACATACTTTAGGCATTCTAAAATTTTTACAGCGTGTATATATATATGTTAATTGCCAGTTATATATGTGTTAATTGCCAGACGAATTCAATGGGATTTAATACTTGCCTGGCGCGAATAAAGATTTTAAATGAGCACGATAAGAAAGTCTTATGAGTATCTATAAGCGCGAGAAAGATACTTTATTGAGACCCGTCGGTAGCCGATGCGGAGTCGCATCGGCTGCCGACGACAGCATTTTGGAGTCGTAAAAATTAAAAAAAAACTAACTAATATTGAATAAATAAAAAGAAACCTTTTTTAATAAAAATGTATGATTGAAATTCTTTCAATAAGAAGACTTTTTAATTTAAGTATTTTGTATCTGAAAGAATAAAAAGACGAATAATTATTTAAAAATTAGCATAATATAAAATATATTTTTTTCAAACGTCAGAAAAGTATAATTGTTATTATACTTTTGTGACATATTATATTATTATTAATGTTTGCGACATGATTGACAATATAAAAAAGTCATTTTAACGCCTAAGCATAAAAGTAAACCACTTTTACTTACTTTTGAATCTATTTAGAAAGATTAACAATGGTCTCGACAATGGTACTTTAATAAAATTCCAGAATACTTATTTTTTTAGCACTGTACATGGTATTCTTTTGTTGGGACTACGTTTTCTGGTACAACCACATCTATAAATTTTAAACCATGTTGTTGGCGCACTTTTAAAAATTCTTTGCATTTTTGTAGTCTGCCTTCATCAAAAACAATAACTTTGACACTAGTAACATTTTTACAAACTACACAACTTAAATGTTTTTTATCCATTGTGATTTAGTAGTTAGTAGCGAAGTTAGTAGTTACTAAAATATTTATTTGCAGTAATTATTCTAAACTATTTACACTATGCACATCAATATTTAATTTATAAATACATATTTGTACATGGTAACTTAATTCCAACAAAATAATCTCTGAATTAAAAGCCTGCAAATAATTGAAATGAAACCGAAAAAAAATTGTTTTTATGACATTTTGAAGTACTCCAAAATACTGTTACGTCAGCCGCATCGGCTGCCGACGGGTCTCAATAAACTATCTTTCTCGCGCTTATAGATAGATACTCATAAGACTTTTTTGTCGCGCTCATTTAAATCTTTATTCGCGTCAGGTAAGTATTAAAACCCGTTGAATTCGTCTGGCAATTAACACATATTTTTTAACCCTTAACTGGTCCGGTAATAGATATGTAACGCCTTCTAAAAAGTTTAAAAAACAAACAAAAACGAAAAAATAACAAATTTTTATTTCATTATATATTATATTATGTATTATTGAACTAATCTAGACAAAAATGGGTTCAATTAATATTAACTTTAAGAAAATATAGTACAAAATAAAATAACATACATATAAATTTGAAAAAAAAAATCAATTAAGTTTTTACTAAGCTCTAAAAAATAAAACCAAATTACTAACAGTCATTACAATATAGAAATAAGTTTGTAATACTATATATATAAAAAAAATAAGTTATAAAACTGGAGTTAAGAAAAAGTTTTTAGTTACAGCATGAGGCAAAGTTCATTGTTTTCCTAAACATGTTTTATACAATGGATTCGTACATTCTAAGCATTAAAAATAATTAACTAGGACATAACATTGTCTCTAACTAGGATAAGAACTCTATAGGATAAGAATATCTCCGTGGCAATGTTCTGGTTGAACAGAAATTGGAAGTATTCTACCAATTGTAAAGTGTATTTCTCGTGGAATATTTGACATTGTCAAACGCATTTGTCTGGCAGATTGTCATATTGTCACTGTCACAGTCCTCATCATATCATTTTAATAGTGTCTTCATAACTAAGGTCTCCTAAACGCACTCTTTTAGAAGGCCCGGCCATATTTTACAAAAGTTTGTCACACACAAAATCTTACACAAACGGTCCGGCGTCGTCTGAGAGACTACGGCTTAAGTAACTTCTGCCAGAACTTCTAAAAAACTAATCCAGTTTGGGCATAAATATGGCTATCAGTTGTTGACCGTGAGGGGGAGGATTAGCTGGAACGCCAATCCTGTAGGCGGTCCCAGTAACTGATGAGAATGAGTTAATTATTTGGCGTAGTCTGTCAGACGACGCCGGACCAGTTAAGGGTTAATATCATCTAATAAACACGCTGTAAAAATTTTAGAATGCCTAAAGTATGTTTTCCAGGTATAATAATTAAACATATTTGGAATGGTCGGGTGACACTTTAAACCCGAAAAAAAAGTCTGGTATACTTATTTCTAGGTTAAATAGATGCTAAAATTTAAGAATAAATAAATTTCAAGTTGCCTAAAGAATGTTTTTTGGATTTATTTTGCAATGTTATGGGTTGCGCAGTAGCGAAATACCCCTAACTCCCCAGCCAGACTTAGGATTCTGGGTTCAAAAGTTATTCAACGTTATTTTTTTTTGTTATTCTAACTTGCCTAAAATATGTTCTCTAAATATTTCGGCAGCTCTCCGGCTAGAAAACCCTGTATTCGACCGGTGTAAAATAATTAAAATAAACTTTGTCCACACTGTTCTGTAATACCAAATCAAGTTGCGCTTCGTAAGTACCCCACCTGCACCGCAAGAACCCGAATACCATCGACTAACATATCTGCTTCGCTGGGTAGTTCCGTTATCTTCTTCAGTCTGTCGAGTACCTTGCGCGTCAGCGTGTTCGCATCATTTTTAAACCGAGTTACATAAAAATATTTCAACAAGGGAAGTTAGATATTCGATATTTTAGTACGAGTAAAATATATCGTGGAAGTGTCCGTGATAATGAACGAAACTTACGAAAAGTGACTATTTATTCGTTGGTTGACCTGGCCTCCGGTTCACCTGACCCAAATAACCAGTGATGTACTGTAATATTGAAGAATCTCGTTTTGTACTGTTTGCGTATTCAATGGGATTATTTTTTGACTAGTTGTTTTTCGAAAAAAAAAGTGCATTTACCATAAACTTAACTAAGATTTCACAAAAAATAGATACACTGTGATGAAAAATTTAATGGAAAAGCATCTTCATGACTGAGAAAAAGTGATATAAAAATGGGGCAAAATATGCGTTGGCCTCTTGTAACATATGGATTACTAATCATCTGCTGTCTTTTCATTAATAAGTGTAAGTTAATTTTATAAATAAAGTTAATAGTCTAATCTAGAAATAAGTGAATATATATTTCTGAGAAGCTTATAAAGCAAGACGGATCATATGAGTTATAAATTACAGGGTGTTTCATTTGAAAAAAAACATAACTTTACCTCATATTTTCAAAAATATTTTTTTTTCGTAGAAGAACAAACTACGTCACTGAATTCAACGTAGAAAGTTCTACAAGAATCAGTTTTCACCTTCTCGATATCATCCACAATAACGGAGGGACTGTTCCAAATTGCAAAGTTTTCGAAATGACCCGGTAGCTTAGAAATGAAGAAGGTTATGACAATTTTGCTTACTGTATCTTCAGTTTGATAAAAAAAAATGGGGGATGCGGTTTGTGCAAACCCCATCCTCCTATCTTTACTAATAACGGTATCTCCGTTATTAGTAAAGATGATTTCAACCTGTACAGTAGAACTTTGACAGTTCGGACACATTATCGGTTTCGTTTCGTTATTTTTCTTTTATTGTTTCCAACTCAAACTCAAAATTTAAACATATTTTTATTTAAACCAAAACGCTTTATAAAACATTAAAACGTCTTTTTGTTCTTATAAATTGTGCTTATTGTACCTATATGTATTGTTCCTATATGCACCTATAAGATAACTCAGTTCCTACTTACTACAATATCCTCCCTAGTAGCACAGCAATATAAAAAGTGCATTAACCATAAACTTAACTAAGATTTCACAAAAAATAGATACACTATGATGAAAAATTTAATGGAAAAGCATCTTCATGACTGAGAAAAAGTGATATAAAAATGGGGCAAAATATGCGTTGGCCTCTTGTAACATATAGATTACTAATCTTCTGTGTTTTCATTAATAAGTATAATTTAATTTTATAAATAAAATTAATACTATAATCTAGAATTAAGTAAATAGGTATATGGCCAAATGATCAAAACTAATGAGGAACCAATAGGCCAGTGCAAATAATTTTGAATTTGCAAAAATTTTTAGAAAGATGCGACCATTGAAAATAGTTAGCATTAGTATTAATAACTCGAAAACCGTGCGTTATAGCGAAAAACTCCAAGAGATAAAAATATTAAAGAGAATAAAAAACTCTATCAGAATCAATAAATAATAGCTTATTATCCTAACGCAGTGACGTACAATTTTTTTTTGAAAATCGAGCAATTTTTAAAAGGAATCACCGAAATGCAAATTACTAAATATTTAAGCTTATTAACAAATAACATGGATATTTAGCATTAATTCAACTAAAATACAATCCTTGTGACATTTTCAAGAAATATTTATTGGTGGTTTAATCATATTTCAAAATTAACAAAAATTGTAAAAGCTATTCTTTACTAAATACATGTGTACAGGGTGTCCCATTTTGGTTGAAATCATACGGTATCTCCGTTTTTCGTGAAGATAGAAGGGTGCGGTTTGCACATACCTGTGCCACTTTTTTGTCAAATGGAAGTACGGCATCTTCCATTTGACAAAAAAGTGGCACAGGTACCACAAACCAAACCAAACAAAATTTTCATTGCCCTCTTCATTTCTGAGCTACAGGGTTTTTTTGAAAATTTTGCAATTTGGGACACCCCCCGTATCTCTGTTATTGTTAAAGATATTGAGACGGTGAAAACTATTTATTGTAGAACTTTTTACGTAGAATACAGTGGTGTTGTATGTTATTCTACGAAAATAATATTTTTAAAAACATGAACTAAAGTTATGTTTTATTAAATGGAACACCCTGTATATTTAGGAATTATATGATCTGGCTTGTTAGAGCAGACTACGCCACTGTATTCTACGTAAAAAGTTCTACAAGAATCAGTTTTCACCTTTTCGATATCATCCATAATAACGGAGATACGGGGGCGGTCCCAAATTGCAAAGCTTCTCAAAAATATATAATACTCTATATTTGTTTTCATTATTTAATTTATATAATAATAAGGCAATATTGAAAAAAAACATATTAAAAGATCATTTTTTTAGTAGGCCATGAATGATAATAAAAGAAACTAAAGAATTATTAAGAGTAATACTGCTATCTGTCTCTTGTTTTATTTTGAGAGCCACTAATTAATTCTTTGTATATTAGAGAAACTTAAATCACTGCCGCTATTTGTAAATCTTGGAAGCTATCGTATCGGAACTTTTAAATATTCCTTTAGCTAATTTATGTGAAATATACTTTCAGCAAGATGGGGCTCCCCCTCACAACTTAACTCACAACGAAAATATTAGAATTTTGTTAAATTATTATTTCTCAAATCAATGAAATGGAACCAATGGCAATGTACCCATATGATGGCCTCCCTGATTCCAGGATTTGTCTGTTCTCGATCTCTGATTTCGGGGATTTTTGAAATATGAAATATATCGTGGCAACTAATACGATGTTGAACACCTGAAAAATGCTTCGATAATGCAAGCTTTTAAATATTTGCACACCCATCCCATTATAATAAATTCCGTTATAAAAAAGAGAAAAATATATTTAGAGGTTCAGTGGTAACAGTTCAAAAGTAAAATATATCAATTCCAAATAAAATTTTAATATGTGCATGTCTATTTTAGTAAATACCATTTTGATTTTGTTATTTATCACGGCCTACTAATAAGAAAATGATATATTTTAAATATTGCAGTAAATAGTGAAAATAAATATAGAGTGATATATATTTGAGAAGCTCATATCAAAGCGGATCATATGATTTATAAATATACAGGGTGTTCCATTTGAAAAAACATAACTTTAGTTCATATTTTCAAAAATATTTTTTTCGTAGAAAAACAGACTACGCCACTGTATTCTACGTAAAAAGTTCTACAAGAATCAGTTTTCACCTTTTCGATATCATCCATAACAACGGAGATACGGGGGCGGTCCCAAATTGCAAAATTTTCGAAAAGACCCTGTAGCTCAGAAACGAAAAGGGTTATAAAAATTTTGTTGACAGCATCTTCCATTTGACAAAAAAGTGCACTTTTTCATTATGATAAATACATTATAAACATATCCCTACAAATCGAATAACAATAATTCAAATTATGACCATTTTAATAAAAATGTCACCTCTGTAGAAGAAAAATGAAGTTTACAATTTTATTCGATTTGTTATTCATCGACCGAGATTTGTTTGTTGTCGCAAGAAATACCATTACAGTTACCACACAAGCTTGAACAGGGCATATTGGATTTTAAACATGTACATAGTATATTACATCTAGATTTGCAATTACGGTAAATCATTTTCAATACAAATTCTGGTGCCACTGCGTTTGACGTTGTTTTTGGAACTAAGGTATCCGTTTTTTTAGTTCATCCCCATTCTGTTGCCTCTTTTCCGTTATTTAGCCAATACTGCATTTGTAAATGATATATAATAATAATTTTGAGCTGCGTTAGTTGTTGGAGGTAAGGTAGCTAAATCAAAATTTTTACTAAGTACCTGATGAGATGTAAAGGTTTTATCTTTATAATACCTCAACTGATCCAGATCTTTTGCTAGCCTATGTCGACCATAAAATAAAAATAAGAATGTATTTCCAGCTTCGACTAGCTCAGATTTTTGTGCTGCAGGATCTAAAAAAATGGATGTAATTTGTCGCAGATGAGGATCTTTTTGCAACGTTTTGAGAATCGCCAGTTTACCTTTTTTAAACAAGCACGAGGTTGTATCACATCCTCATATAGCATGTGCAAATAAGAGTGAATGCTTCATGTCACCAATCTTGTTCTGCATATTACCGATGTCAGTTACTCTGTGAGGTTTGGACGATTTTCCAGGCCGAAGCATAAAAATAGATTTTTTTGTCCGATAATGCAGTAATAAAACTAACAAATCAGTATCTGTAGCCTAATTTTTCAAACTGTTACTGTATTTTTAAAAACAAGTTGTTTACAAAATGGTAACAAAAATACCTTGGTTTAAGTGCAAATAGCCCCGATCGGGACAAGGTGGAGGCATCTTTCGCACATTATTAGTACACATGTATTTAGTAAAGGATACACTTTTACAATTTTTGTTAATTTTGAATTTTTATTAAACCACCAATAAATATTTCTTGGAAATGTCACAAGGATTGTATTTTAGTTGAATTGATGCTAAATATCCATGTTATTTGTTAATAAGCTTACAAAATTAGTAATTTGCATTTCGGTGATTCCTTTTAAAAATTGCTCGATTTTCAAAAAAAAATTATACGCCACTGCGTTATGATAATAAACTGTTTTTTTATTGATTCTGATAGAGTTTTTTATTCTCTTTAATTTTTACCTCTTGATGTTTTTCGCTATAACGCACCGTTTTCGATTATTTACATTTTTTCCCAAAAAGTTCAAAAATTCAAGATGGTGGCCGATTTTTTTTGATGACGCACACACCGGACAAATGGGGACTTTTAGTATGTTAATAAGGGATACTAATGCTAACTATTTTCAATAGTCGCAGCTTTCTAAAAATTTTTGCAATTTCAACATGGTAAATGTCATAACTAAATGCATCTCTTTTAAACGCTATTGTTATATTATTACAGTAATTCTAAAACGCTTATACTGCAAAATATTCGCTAACTTTAAAATATAATTCATTCATCATCTGCAGCTTATTCAACCATTTTCAGTTATGGTGTAGCCTCTCTCATATATTTAGTTACTCTCTTTGTAGTTGGGCCCATTGTTGTCTATTGTTGGCTAAGCGGGCACAAGTTACCTCGTCTAATTTCCTAACAGCATGGTCCCATCTCAGGTTCGGTCTTCTTCTAGGTCTATTAATTCCTCGTGGGTATCATGCTGTAATTTTTGTGGTCCATCTGTTGTCCGTCCTTCTTGCCATGTGTCCTGCCCATTGCCATTTGAGGGATTTGACTCCGTCTCTGTGGATGACATTTTACCCCTAGAATTACTTCTATTACAATTAATTTCCATTGGCCTAATCAACTTCCCATCAGTTTTTAAATGATACTAATACTTCCTCATGA